AAGTTAAAAAATACAAAATCTTTAATTAAAATAAAATTAATAATAAATACAAAATTAAATAAAAAAATATTTTAAAAAAACTATAATAGTATATCAGTGATACTAAAATAGCACAAAAGTGGGTAAATAAATAAATATTTGTACAAACAAACAAATAAAAGTCTCAATTCTTGAGTATGAATAATGTACATTTCAGATGACACATCTCATTAGCATCTCCAGTGAACCACAATGAGGCAGTCGAAGACCTCGCAGCTGGTCTGCACAGAGCGCACTGACCCCGCACGAACAAAACAGGACTTATGCTGCGAACAATAGAATATGTATGTATCAAAACTAATAAATAGATACCAGGGCTCAGGCTGGCACGTCAGACACAATGGGGTGTATTAAAATAACTGGCTTGATGTCATTGTTCTCTGAGCAGAGTGGGGTTTATGTGTGTATGTGTGTATGAATGAGACGGGCCGGAGATCACAGAGCTGTCCTTGTCCCATACAGTGATGAGCCTTTCAGACCCTCATTCAGCCTCACTATCTGCCCTGAGCTTTGATAGCTAAGAGAACTTTCAAAAACACCCATCAAGCAAACCAAACATGCAATACGGTGTCTCCCAAAAGGTATTCGGATGCAAAAATTCCTGAATATTGTTTCATTAGAGCGAACAAATATCAAACCCAGTGTCACTTGTGCTAAAATCCCACTAGAGCGTGTTTTAGAATTGGCTTCACTTTTTGAAGACATATAGTTAGGCCTATTTCTACACACCTAGAATGATAACTATAAGATAGTGTCTACACCCGGTGTGACTGTTGTCGTGTGGCTCCGCAGCAGTGAGTCTGTCTACACTGAATTTGTCCTGAAGTAGCACAAATGTGTGAAGTACGTCAGGGATAAGTCAGGGCATTGGTTTACTATTCATCTCAGTGACGCGTCACATTGCACTACATCCATTAAAAACAATATCACTGATTATAATGGGCTCTTTTTGCTTTTGTCATGTCATGCACTCTCATATCTGATTTAGACATGGTGTAACAATAACACTTTAAAAACATGTTTTTATTTCAGTGACGTTTACGCCAAAAATTATAACTATAACGATATGATGCTACATATCAGCGTCCACACCAACTGACGATAATGTTCTGTTTATTCTAACCGTTATATGGGTTTTATTAGGTAAAACGTGCTTGTTTTTTAAATTAACCACAATGCTTAATGCGGCAAGAAAAACAGTATGTCTGTGTCTGTGTGTCTGTGTGTGTCTGTGTGTGTGTGTGTGTGTCTGTGTGTGTGTGTGTGTTTGTGTGTCTGTGTGTGTGTGTGTGTGTGTGTGTGTGTGTGTCTGTGTGTGTGTGTGTGTGTGTGTGTGTCTGTGTGTGTGTCTGTGTGTGTTTGTGGCTGTGTGTGTGTGTGTGTGTGTGTGTGTGTGTGTGTGTGCGTGCGTGCGTGCGTGCGTGCGTGTGTGTGATCTGCTCTCAACACACTTAATTTTCACACAAATCAAAAAATTGCATATTCCGAGTTCCAGGGCACACGTTCATATAAAAGTGTGTATTTGTTAAACAGCTATTTGTGAGACTGGGTTGGCAAGACTGCTGGAACAAGTTCTATGTTTGTGTTTGGTGATTTTTGTGGAATTCATAGTCTCAACTAATGTGTTTATTTTATGAAGATATTTTTGAGCAAATACAAAATGTCTGCTGCTAATAAAGTTTTTTTTTACCTGTCAATGCACAAAATAGATATACACATTAGCCATGCCAAAATCTGCTTATCGGACTGATAGAATGAACTGAAGTGTATTTTTAACTTAATGCACTTAATGCATGTACATTTTAATTTAATAGTTAATTTTATTTTAATATTATTTATATATCATATTATAGTATTATAGTATCTCACAATATTAGAATTAGCTTTTATTTATTTTTTTAAGCTTTAGTGATATTGTTATTTATTTTTATATTTCTGTTTAGTTTTAATTTATTTTTACTTAGTTCAACTTCACCTTATTTTAATTTAGTAATTAGTATTTTTTTTTTTACCTTTGTCATGTAATATTTATATTGTATTTTATTTCAGACTTATTTCAATTAACAAATAATTAACAAATGTAAAAAATAAATATATAAATGAATGAATGAATAAATTAAGTATCAAACAAATAACAAATCCATAATGTTATCTCTCAGTTGCTAATTTATATGCATTCTATGAGTAATATATATATAGATTATCACTGTCAGAATAATCTGCCATGTAATTTAACTGTACAGCACCATCTATTGGACAAATACATAACATAAACCATCAGTTTACCATCAAACACACACAAGCAGCTGCTTATAGGTGCTGGCGGTGTATGGCAAGCCGTTTTGACTTTTATTCATTCTCAGGATATGAATTCTTGATATCAACAATTCAATTTTTACTAGTTAAAATGTTAATTCTTGATATCAGGAATTAGATTTCTACTAGTAACAATTGCTATTTTTGATATCAGCATCCTGAGAATGAATAAAAGTCAAAACGGCTTGCCATAGGCGGTGTAGCGGTGTGAGGAATATTTCATTGACACACATTAGGCTCTTTATTTAAACATTAGAGCCTACCTGCTATCATGGACCAGCATCTCTGGAAGGTTTCCAGCCACAAATAATTCAAGATGCAGTGGCTGTCAATGTAGCGTAGATGAACTGCATGAAAACCAATGATAACGGGCAGAATATGCAATGTGAGAAAAAAAAGACACTCCCTCTTTCAAGTTTCACTTCCTCATGAACAAAGTTCAGTTAAGTCTACATGAAAAACAGAAACAGAAAACATGAACGTGGTCGCTTCTATAGAAATCCAACAAAGCTAAAGTTTTCATAACGTCATATTGAGTTTAAGCTGTTTATAGGATTTCTATTTGCACAGGTGAGTCAATATTGTCTTATTTTCAGTGTGTTGTGCTGTAATTACCACCTGACTTGAGCGAGGTCAGATTTTCATCCGTTATATATTCTGTTACCTGCACAACATCAACTTCTTCTGGCCATGTTTGTGAGCCGCTTCCTTTAGAGGTTTAATTATAGTTGCACTTCCTGGGGAAGTGTGTCCTTTTACCTTTCACTGAATGACTGATGTTGTGAAATTTTGGGATCCGCTAACATTTTAAATTGTATTTTCATTAGAAAGAACTGTTGTAGAAGCTTCCAGCATTTGTTATTATCCTCTACTCAGTGTTGTCTGCTAGTGCTGAAGGAGAAGTAACATGTTTAAGGAAATGCTCAGTTCCATAATCAGCATCGTTTTATTTTCTTTCTTTCTTTTTTTTTTGTCTCAAAAATATCTTGTCAAGATGACATTGGGGTAAGTTGAGCCACCCCATCTATCTTCAGTAATTTGCATATCCATGTCCAGCCACGACTGACTGTGATTGAGGGAGCCATAAAGTAATGTATATATATATATATAGGATATTAATGTAAATTTACTACACGACAAGTAAAATATGATTGTCAATAATATCTAGAATAATTAAATGAACTTAATGCAAGAAATGCCATTAAATTGGTTTAATCGAGTATCTTTTGAGTCATATTTTGTTGAATCCATAGTTTAGTGAAATTTTTTCTTCTTTTTTTTTGTCTTAAAGGGTTAGTTCAGCCAAAAATAAAAATTAGGCTGTGTTTTACTCACCCCCGATGCATCCTAGGTGTATATGACTTTCTTCTTTCAGACGGCCGTACAACTGCCTTATCTTCCATACTTCTGTACACCAAAATGTTATCTGTGATACTGATTCTAGGTGAATTGTGGCCAAATTCATTTACAGAACACTAAATTAGAGCGCTTTGTTATGGAGGAAGAACTAGAACCACATGACACCAAGGCAGTGGATGCTAACGAAGAAGCTTCTTCAGCTCCTGAAGATTCCTCACCTCAGCAGGAGAAGTCATCCAATAATGGTCAGTTTAAGACAATTGCAACTGACCTTACGAGAGCAGAATCTGATGGTTGTGTGTTTGTGGAATTGTCTGTTCGCTGTGTTCACTTCATGTCTCCTCACAGCTGAAGAGGCAGATGTGGGTTTTAGCGCCTCCTGTCTGACCACAGCAGAACTGCAGCAGCACTGGAGAGCCGTTAAGCAGGAGTTCAGAAGCGTTAAACTTCTGTTTGACATCCCCACCACGCGAATCATCGATCAGAAAATCTCCAAATATGTGGTAAGTCACAGCTTATAGTGAAATAACTATAAACATGAAATCAAACTCTATTTCGTTCTTGTTCCAACAGGTTCATTATTACCTTTAATCAAAATGTAATAACTTGCTCTGCCTCTTAAACGATTTCCCTTTTGTATGACGTCACAAAGGCCACAATTTTTTTTAACTGCCCCCCTTTTCCCACTATTCACTTTATTATCAAAGAATGTAACAATGAATTTATTTGTTTTTGATAAAGGATGGCCACTCAGCTAAAGTTAGGATATGGTTCTTATTTGATTATTATTTTGGAGAACTAATTACTAACGTTCTAGGAATGTTTTTTTCTTCGTAAACATAAATTAACATGTTCTCCAATCCTAAAGGGGAGGTTGTATTTCCATTACTGAAAACTTTACTGGCTAACTTAGGGTAGCGTTGTAGTTGAGACCAGAGACCAGCAGTATCCAATTGCATAAACTACTTAGACTAGTCTTATAAGTTAGTCATACAATTTTTTTCTTCAAGACTGGTCATAACTTTTTTGAAATTCAGTTACATAAAATGGCATATTGGTCTAATTTGAATCTGAAAAGTAAGACTGATTACCACTTGGTTAACGGCTAGTCAAACTAGTTCTTAAGACACAGTCTTAACATTGTGACTAAGTTTATGCAACTGGCCCCAGTTGCCTAACCTTAGCCTTTATGTTAAGACCGTGTCTTAAAAACTAGTCTGACCTACTAGCAGTTAGCCAAGGGGTAGGGGCGTGTCTAGAGCATTTTAAATGGGGGGGCCAGTCGGGGGCAGCCACCCCTGGCCACCACGTAGACACGTCCCTGCCAAGGGGTAATCAGTCTTTATTTTTCCGATTCAGAACAGACCAGAGGTATCCAAACTCAGTCCTGGAAGGCCACTGCAGAGTTTAGCTCCAACTTGCCTCGACATACCTGCCTGGAAGTTTCTAGTATGCCCGCCCTAGTAAGAGCTACTAGCACGTTGATTAGCATGTTCAAGTGTTTAATTGGGGTTGGAGCTAAACTCTGCAGGACTGTGGCACTCCAGGGGCAGGATTGGACACTTTTGAAATAGACCAGTCCACATTTTTATGTAACTAACTTAAAAAGTTAGTTTAAAGATCAAAGCCTTAAAGAAAATAAATTAGATGACTAACTTGTAAGACTAGTCCGAGTGTTTTATGCTACCAACCACATTTAATTTGAGTCTGAGTCCAGGCCAAGACCTGAGGTTGAGTTTGAGTCAATACTGAGACCAGAAAAGGGTCTAAACAAATGTAAATATGTCACATGAATCTGTGCTCTTGTCCAGAGCTGCACAGACAACAAAACCTAACTATAGACCGGGTTTCACAGACAGGGCTTAGACTAAGCCAGAATTAGGCCATAGTTCAATTAGGACATTTAAGTAATTTTTATAAACATGCCTTAGAAAAAAAAAAAAAAACATTACTGGTGTCCGTCGTGAGACAAAACAAAGGAACTGATATATTTTAAGATCAGTCAGTGCAAATTTATTTCAGTTGAAACAGCTCAGACTTACATTTTAGTCTGGGACTAGGCTTCAGCCTTGTCTGTGAAACTGGGGATAGTGTTGTAGCACTCAAGACCGGACTCTGTCTCAACTTGCTACACGTCAAAGGCAGAACCCAAATGCTCCATGACAAGAGCAAAACCATGAAAATCCTGGTCTAGACTCAGACTTAAGTCTGATTTTGAGTATCACAACTTTGCTTTAGAACAGGGGTTCCCAATCCTGCTCCTGGAGATCTACATACCTGCAGAGTTCGGCTTCAACCCTGATCCAACAAACCTGTCTGTAATTGCTCCTGAATATCGTAATTAGCTGGTTCAGGTGTTTGATCAGGGCTGGAGCTGAACTTTGCATGAAGGCAGATCTCCAGGAACAGGACTGGACACCCCTGCTTTAGGATGTCCATTCTGGCAATGTTCTGGAAATCAAAAACTATTAGCTGTACATGCCTTTACCCCAGACATAACACAACCTGCAAAGCTTCTTGTCTTCTCCAGATTAAGTTCACAGCTTATTTCCTCTTCTTCAGGTGTACCAGGTTGTGGTGATCCGCTCAGGTAGTTACGACTGTGAGCGAGTAGCTATCGAGCGACGCTACTCAGACTTCCTCCACCTTCATCAGGAGCTCCTGCTGGACTTCAGCGAGGAAATGGAGGACATTGTGATGCCCAGGAAGAAAATGACGGGTAACTTCTCAGAGGAGAACATCGCAGAGCGGCGCGTGGCCCTCAGGGACTACCTTACTCATCTCTACTCCCTCCGTTGTGTCCGAAAATCACAAGCGTTTCTAGCGTTCTTCACTCATAAGGAATTAAAACCTTCATATGACCTCCTGCGTGGGGGCCGCTTTTCCCGGGCCCTTGAGGGCCTCCAGAAAGTGTTGGTACTTGAGGAAAAACTATCTTCTCACAACCCTACTTTGGTGGTACCAACCTTGTGTGCCATACTGGTGTGTCAAAGAGATCTAGAAGACTCTGACGCAGCATTTCAAACTGGCAGAAGAGCTCTGCCCATGGTGAGACGATACGAGCTCCGGCAGTATCAAGGGCCCCTGCTGGAGGCTCTTGTTGATTTGGGCTACAGTCTTGGGCTGCCTGTGGCCCAGTTACAGGATGAGCTGACCAGAGCGCAAGACTCTCCAAACGGGCAGGTGTCAGAGATGTCCCTTAAAGAACTGGTGGTGCAAGAGTTTGTATAATCAGTAACAACTGCAATGTAGTTGTGTTTACTATAATCATTATTTGATTAATTCCCTAATCCAAAATATTCAACTTCAGAGAGTTAACAGAATAATGAATCTCACCTGAAAGAAAATTCCCAAAAATGTACATTGTAGAGGTCAGAATGTCATAGAGACATGGCGCTTTTCCACTGCGTGGTATGACTCGGCACGGTTCGGCTCGGTTTGTGTTTCCACTGCAGTTCAGTACCACTTTAGAGTGGGCGGGATTATTCACATGTCGTTATAGTTGCGCCGCTTCTACTGCCGCGACTCCTGAAAAATGTTTTCATTCCGCGTCGCCCCATCAAGCTCTCGCTGGATCCGCTCCTCTGCTATCAACGAGAGGAACGTCTGTACTACCTCAACAGGGGGAACAGCCACTTTTTGGTTGTTAAAAAAAGGTGCGCTCGTTCAAAACAGTTGCGTTCTATCCTTTGCTGGCTGTGCTGATTTAAATCTAGCGCTTCTTTTGTGTTTGTGTCGCAAGT